TGGCCAGGGCAGAGAGTCTGATGGCAAAAATGCCATCTGCAGCCTCAGCAACAAAGCAGTCTGGAAGACACAGAAACAAGGAAACATTTCCTCTCTAACAGAGAAACTGGCAGGCAAAGTCTCAAACAAGGCAAAGCTGGCTCTGATCTCTGTCATCATTTGGCCTCAGCTSTCTCTCAAGTCCCTGACTCTGAGGRCATCAACTTGTCCCTCTCTAGCAGAGCTAATGGACTACAGAGGCTTTATCTGGAGKCTAATGGCTCTTGCACAGCCAACACAAGAGGCCCACACTGAGGGCAGTGGCTTTATGGCACTGAGGTTTCAAGCCATGTCTCTGCTAAGTGAACCCAGCATGCACTGCCTCAGCTTCCTCCAGAGTAAACAGGCTCACAAAGCTGCTGCTCTAACCAGCACTGAATTAAAATTCCTCGTGAACATCAGCTGGACAGACCTGCCACTCTTGCTGGAGGGAAGGAGGAAGTGCCTTTTTGCCCATGGCTGGGAGGGCAGGAGTGAGACACTGGAGATATTGCCATCTTGCTTGATGGATGCCCCTTTGGGGAGCACAGCAGCCTGGAGACTTTGACAGAGCCCAGGAAACATGTTCTCCTCTTAGGTCTGTCATRGGGATTTAGGAAAAGTGGTCTGTTATACCTTTCCAGCCCCCAAATGCCTGTCTCCTCTTCAAGACCAGCTTTGAGACATCCATCACTTGGGATCTGGGCAAGTTGTCACCACAGCACCTGTGGAGTGTCCATCACTGCTCCCTCATATGTGCACACCTGCAAAGACAGGAGTGTCCTTCCCTTTAGCCAGATGGGAACACAGCTGGAGCTAGGCTGGAGGTGTGGCAAGGAACCAAGGTGGTAGCAGAGCATCCCAGACCCAGCTGTGAGAAGGGTTCAGTCCATCACCTCCTCCAGCACCTAGCTGAAATCTGCAGAGATCCACACCAGCTCTTCCTCAGGCTTTCCAGGGCAATGCGTGTCTGGAACAACCTGGTTCCCTCCACCCATGTACAGAACAATCCCAGGACTGCCAGACAAGAGACAGGAAAATGCTACTTATCTAATTTGATTTCATTTTACTTCTTTTTTATTTTCTGGGCTCTCAGAAATATGTTCAGTCTGGATTGAGGTTACAACCTGAGTAATGCCTCCCTACCTAAAAAAAAAACAACCTGTTACCATAACAACCTGACTCTGTGCTTTATTACCATGGCAATTCTCAGGAATTATTAAATACTGTGTATGTTTGGTGCAGGTGCTCCAGTACATCTGGTGCCAAGCTCAGGTTGGGATCCTTCTCCCCWCAATCTGTATGTGTGTCTCATCATGTTTAACTCTTCCATTCCCTCAGTCCAGACTGCCAAGGCAGGGAAAAGAAGTGAGTATTATCTGGGACTTCTGTGTTTTCCCCACTACCGGGACATCTGTATGACCAGCATTTTTCAGGGGGGTCAAGCCACCTCTTTATTTCTTCAGTGTACAGCCAGTGATTCCATAAGCAGAGGATTTCACTTTTTAGGCTGTTCAGCAGAGGGAAATGATCTCACTTGCCTTTCTCTGCTGTTTCCCTGCTGCCTGTCTAGAAAGAAGAAATTCCACCTGGAGCAGAATCACARCAAGTGGGGACCAGCCCAGAGACAGAGAGCTGTGCCTGGAGGAGGATGGTGAAGSTGCAGGGCAGGCTGCTCTTTCTGGGCAGGACAACTTGACTGACCAGAGTAATAGAATCATTAAGGTTGGGAAATACCTCCAAAACCATGTACTGCCTAAAATCATGGCTGTTTTCAGAGAAGGGATGTGGACTAGATGGACCAGTGACTCAGACCAGTGTAACCAGTCCCATAGGATTGCATTGGTATTTTGTGTTCCACTGCTAGGAGGGGATTTTAGATGAGACTCAATGGCTGGTCTTCGGTCTGCCACTGCTGTGATGATCCATCTAAGCACATGCCTTCCCTCCCTGTCCCTTCAGCAATGTCTCTCTGTCATGCTTGAACAGCTCCTGGCACCCCAGTGGCACTATGGAAGTTATCGTGTTACAAGCAACAATTAAAAAAAAAAAAAGTAAGAAATAACATTTTTTAAAAAACTGTTTGAATTTTCTTGGGAGCTGGTACCCACTTGTGAGCTTATGCTGAATGAGTAGGTGTGAAAACCACAGCTTGTGGGGAAAGGTGGCAGAAAAAGCCATTATCGTCTGCTCAACAAGCCCTGGAGTAACAATCTCCTTCTCTGGCTGCAGGATTCGTGTCTCTGGGGCAGGACAGCTGCATTTTCAGAATCTGAGATCATAGCTCTTCCCCTAAGATCTGGGTGGCATTGTGGTGCCCTTAGTACCTTCCTCCTTTAAACTACTATGACTTCACCTCAAGGCAGTCTTTAGACCCATAATCCCTGATCCAAGGGGTTCCTTCATGGTGCCAGCCTTCTTTTCCACAAATAATTCCTCCTCAGTGGGGTAATCAGCCTTTTATTGGGAATCTAATGGGATGAGGACGTGTGCAAGTGTCTTAACCCCAGCACAAGGAAGGCAGAATACATGGACATGTGCTGTAATATAGCAAATGTAGATGGTGCCACCAACTGCTTCCTCTGAGGGTCCTCCTCTTGATCCATACAACTGGCAATGCAGACACATCCCTGATGCCAGGAAAGGGTCACAGCATGACCAGAGGGTGGACAAGCCAATGTCAGGTTGGGCTCTTGCCCCAAGGACCCATGTGGTAAATGTTCCCTCTCCCAGCTGAGTCCTGAGCAAGTTCCACCTACCTCAGCAGGTGCCCAGCTCTGCTTTCTGTGGTGTTTCATTGTTCCTCCAKCTCATGTGTACATGAACCTTCTGTGGAAAATGTTTCTTCTTACCTCTGGAACACTCCATGTCACAAAAGGGATGTGCCCCATTCCTGGATGTAGCATCCAAGGACACTTAGCAGGACCCTCAACACACACCAGCCCTGGCAGAGGTGGGGACAGCTGAGATGTGTGACCAGCTGCTTTACTCATGGTGTTGCTGCAGGGCAAAGGTAAATTTGATCATTTCATTGCATTATCAGCTTTCCCTGTGCCTTGCTCTCCTTGCTAACATCAGAAGGTTTTTTATACCACCTCTGAGTTGTCCTTTGCACTGGAGCCACAGCTGGTGGATGTACTGGCAAGAGGGACCAAATGGCAGCTGAAAGCAGGATGGGATGGGAGTTCTGTGAGTGTATCTGTGTTGCCCTGTGACAGCACAGCAGCCTGGAGATGCAGATACACCTTWAGGTTGCAAACACAAGTACAGCCCCTGTGTTTGCAGRGCTGGGTCATTGTCTGCTTTGAGGTTTTTCATGTCTCACGCTCTCGTCTGACCCAGCCATGCCCTCCTGCAGTGAGGGTGGTTTGCACTCATATGCAAAGAGACTGTGGAAACATGGAATCCCAGAATGGTTTGGGTTGGAAGGGACCTTACAGATCATCAGCCTCTGCCCCATTCAGCTTGGCCTTGGACACTCTCAGGGATGGGGCAGCCACAGCTGCTCTGGGCACTCTGTTCCAGTAATCTGAGCAATCTGTTCCAGGAGGTCAATGACATAACACCCCTCGCAGCAGCAGGGACCAAAATCCCCTTCTAGGCTGCTGTGTGAGGTCACTTTGCATGTGGCTGCAGGGCAGCAAACCCTCTGCACTGAGAAGGTGGCTCACAGGTCTACAGACCTGCAACTGTTCATAAAAATCACAGCTGCCTGTTCAGCCATTCCACTGGCACCAACGGGACATTTCAGAGCTTTGAATCCCAAATTCTGGAMCTGCTGCCACATTGTCAGTGTGCTCCTAAGGCTGGCAGAGGCAACAGGTCAGTGGGGAACAACCAGCAACCACACTACACTGGTCCTGCTCTGCACTCTCTGGGAACCTGGAGGAAATGTTCAGCAAATAGCAATTAATAGCAAAACATTCTCTAATCATGTTTTTTCCCTCCGGGAAAGGCAGAGAGCTGTTCATCTGGATTTATATCCTCCAAGTAGCTCAGCTCATCAGCTCCTCCAGTATCCAGGATTGCTTTCCCACTACAGAAGTGAACCCAGCAGGAATATTGTTAGCACAACAAAACACAAATTATTTCTACCTCATACCCACAGCCAGAGCTGTAATTCCATCACAGAACAAAGGTCAGGAGTCTTCCTCCTCTCACATAATTCAGCTTTGACAGCTCATCAGGATCAGAGGAACTGGAGGTTTTAACTCAAAGACTGAAATCTTATTTTGCAAGAGGCACTCAGAGCATCTTTATGAGTCTCTGCTTCAGCACTGTGCAGGTATTTAACATGAGCCTGGAAAACACAGTTCCTGATGAATTTGTCTGCTTGTGGGAAGTGATACTTGCCTGTGAAAAATAATGGTGATTTCTGATTTAAAGAAATACTTCTAATTACACTTCTCTTCAAGGTGAGATGATTTTACCCGGAACTAGCACTGAAATTCCTGAACTAACACACACACACAGAAAGAATAAAGACAACACAAAATTCTGTTGAAACAGGTTGTTTTTTTTYCTGAATGTTCACCAGTTTTCAAAAATTACAAAACCTCAAGGACTGTAACAATGTAACASTTGGAAAAAGAGGCTGATGTGTACAAAAACAGGCATGCTTTTGTTTTAGGGGTTGGGAAGGGCTTGTATTTATCTGGCTCCTTTTCTTCCTCCAGCATAGTGTGAAAGAAGAAAGTACCAGTTTATTTAACAGATAGCTCAGGAAAACAAGGAAGAACATGCTTTCCCTGTTACAAAACTGCCAGAAGATGCATGCTCAAGCTCCAGAACACAACAGACTGACACATTTTGTAGTATGCAGACCTTATGAACCATACAGTGCTTCCTTTCCCCTGCCCCTCTCAATGGTATGTGCCCTGCATTTTGCTCTCCCTTTAGCTTATTCTTTTGTTTTCTTTTTGTAACGACTTATTTGCCTTTTTTTTTTTTTTTTTTTTTTTTTTTTTATTGCTTTTTTTTTTTTTTTTTTTTTTTTAGACCTAAATCCCAGGTAGCGGTATCCAAGGTAACAGCAGGAAAGAGTCCAGATCTCCACATTATCACTGTTTCTGTAAGGTTCATGCAAAACTTAAGCCATTTCTGCATGCAACACGATGCTGCTCATTTATTGTGCTTCACACAGCTCTGGGGTGGTTTCCCCATTGACCACCACAGTTTGTTGACTGGGAAGAGCAGATTTGCTTTCCCATGGACACAGACAGACTAAAAGACCCCTCCCCCCATTCTCACTCCCCCCCATTTGCCCCAAACACATGGGAATGTGCATCTTAACACCAGCTCCAGACAGTTCACTTGCCTATAAGAGCCCGGTGGCTTCAGTAAAGTCCCATGATTGCAGCACCCACGTCCTTGGAAGGTCTTCGGTCCTTCACCAGAAAGTTAATCATGCTCTCTGACTTGATGAGCAAGTTGCAGCCCAAAAAGAAGATGCCAAACATCACAGTCAAGGAGAGGACGCAGAGGACAGCAATCTGCACCACCCTGATGAAAAGGCTCCTCTCGTCAGGTGCCAGCACCGAGGAGCCACCACCGGTTGCCAGCACCGCGCTGGTCCCATTGCAGCAGGCCAYGAGCATCCCCAAGCCCTGGGTCCTGTTGGGGTCAGCTCCCTGCTCCAGGAGAGTCTGGTTGAAAAAGGATCCATTCATGGTCTATGTGTGACCCCAAATCTTCGGGAAATGTAAAATGAAAGCTTATTATACCCCTGCCCGCCCCTCAGAGGCTGGGGCTCCGTGGCTCCAAGCCACCTCCTGCCTTTCCTCTCTCAGCGCCCGGGATGGAGAGGGAACTTCTTCGAGGCTGTGAGCAGGTGAGAAGCCAGTCCATGCAGCCGAGGGACGGCTGGATCCCAAATCCCTCCTGGCAGAGCGTYAGCACAAGCCCCCAGACAAGCAAAAGGAGAGAGAGAGAAAARGAGAAAGGGACTTGGGGAAGAGGACGGCAGCCGGGAATCACCCCATCCCCCTGCCCTCCTAACCCGCCCCCGAAGCAGCTGAGCGGCGCCGCCGRATCCTGGGGTTTCTCCCGCCGGAGGGAGACCTGGTGTCTGCCGGCTGGGAGCTCCACAAATGCAAGTTACAAGCTAAAAGTCTTCATCGTATTCAAAGAGAAAAAAAAACAGCAACTCCACCCCCTTCCAGCCTCCCCCCAGGCCCGCCTTCCTCCCTCTCCACGTTCACCCTGCTGCCCACCCCTTCCCCACGCTGCACCTCCCGCTCTCCTGTGCCACAGGTGCCCACATCCACCTGCTCCCMGAAGCATCCTGCATGGCCAGTGCTCATCCTGGACTGCTGGCAGGTCGCTGTCCTCAGAAAGGCTCCTGGAAGCCTCAGGTCAGTGCTGCTGTCACCGATCTCTGCTTGCTGCTCTGTGCCACCCACTCCTTCTCGGAGCAGCATGGCCCAATCCAGCCACTCCTTGGTGATGCYTGTCCTGTGCCTTCAGAGAAGAGCTGCATCCAGCCCCTCTCTACATCCTGATCCTCTGGCTGGGGGCTTCTTTCTCCAGGCACACTCATCTCCATCTCCTCCCCTTCCCACTCCCTTAGCACTACCAGTGGGGAGCTCTGCAGTGCTGCACCCYGATCTCTGCCCTCTCCCACAGCAGCATCCCTGTAGCCTCCAGGGCTGGAAGCATCACAGGCCACTCTGCCCCACCAAGGCAATCCCAGGGGAACATTCACCATCACCCCCCTCTCTGTGTCTGCATAAGCTCCCAAAGTGACACCATGAGTCAGGGTGTCCAACGTGTCAGGCTTATTCCTCCTCCTGCTCATCCCAGGGCTGTGCCCACAGGACTGCCATGTCCCAGTTTCCTGGCTTTGCCCATTGGCATTTGCCTTGAAATGTGTCTGGATGAGCAGCAGATCGACCCCAAAGCACAGTGACAGACCTTGTCCTGGTTTATCCATGTACSTATTGGCTCCTTTCCTTTGCCCAGCTCCCAAGGGGATTTTAATAAACCAAAAATGAGGATTGAGGAGTTGTAGCCAAAGGCAGGAGTGTGCAGCTGGCTGAGGGTGGAGTTCAGCTTGGCAGGGACAGTATCAAGTGATCTTCCTTTTGGGCAGCTGGGACCTGTGCCCCTGCTCTGTGGCTGTGACTTTAGGTGCTCAGGAYTGTTCAGTTTGGGCTTTACTTGTTGCATTTTCCTCCTTGTTCTGCACTTGGCATTTCCCTCTAGGGCAGTTGCATCAGAAGTCATGCAGGAAGGAGGTGAAAACCCTGATCCAAGGAGCATCTGCTTGWGTTTAATGTGAGGGCCAGGAAAAATCCCATGGAAAATCCGAGCATCTCCAGTGCCCCAGCCCGAGTGGGAGCTCCTCTCCCTGCATGCTCCCAGACTGAAGGAGCTCCTGCTCCCTCTGGTGGCTCCAGCTCCAGCATCTCCTCTCCCAGCACACCCCAGCATGGATTAGGGCTGCATCCATCGCTTGTGGGTCACAGCCTGCAGTGATGGGGCAGCCAGGGCTCCCAAACACTCCCCTGCTGGCTCCTGCCTTCATCTCACCAGGGACCCCAAAATCTGGAGCATCCCACTGCCTATTGCACAGTGCCTGGAGGTAACATTGTGTAATCTTKGAATGGTTTCAGTTGGAAGGGATCTCATGTCACTCTAAGCCACTGTCATGGGCAAGGATACCTTCTACTAGMCCTGTCCAAACTGRTCTTGAACACTTCCAGGRACAGGACACTCACATCCCRATGGTGTTCTCAGGACAAGCAGCACCTTCTTGAGGTTTGCAGAGAAATTCCACCCCAACATGTTGGATTGAGTTCATGCCATCCTTGTCCTCAGGCAGGACCAGCCCAGGAAAGTAAAGGCAGGTCAAATACTTGATTTTGTTACTTTTTTCCTCTTTCTTTAGAGTTTTGGAAACCATGCTGGTAGTATCACAGCCCACACTGGGCAGGGGTTTCCAGGACACATGGAGCTGCATATCTGTTGGGAGAAGCAACACTTGCCAGTTTGGGCAGCTGGAGCTGGATGAGATGAGTCCCCAGTGAAGAGGACCTGGGAAATGGATGGCACGTTGGGTCTGGGAACCAAACAGGGTCCCATARTCCTCTCTAGACAGTTAAGACTAATCTTGCTTTCCATGAAACACTCTGACATGGTCACAGGATGACACAGCACAGCACATAGGGACAGGCAACCATGTGGGCAGCATGTCCCACAAGATAGGAAGGGCCATGTAGACAGCACATGCAGACRGGAAAATAAGGAATTTGGATGCCCTGAAACTGGCTAATGGGGTCTGCAGTGAGACCCTATTATGAGACCCCATGGGTCCAGCATCTGAAGCAGATCAAGCCTGGAGTTCCACAAAAACAGTTCTGGARTTTGTTCTGATGTCTCAGCCAAAGTGCAGCCCTTTTTGATACTGCATGAGGGCTACCAGGCTTCTCCTAATCCCCTTTGCCAAATCCTCATCAACAAGCCCTAGGGAAGGAACTGGATCCCAAGCGGACAGTGATCCCCACTGAGGAGGACAGCAACATCCTCAGGGTTGGTGGGGCTATGTGGGGAAGCAAAGAGGCACTAAAACTTCTTTTAAAGCCGAGGAAAATCCCCAGTCCAAATCTTCATGTCACCCTCACAAAAACTGTCACCTCTTGTGGACAGCTGCCAGCTCTGGGACAAGTGGCTCTTGTACAGCTCTGTGCACACTGTCTGTAGCCTCCAGCACCTCCCAGATGTGGGTGCAGCTCCTGGTGCCCACCAAAACTTGTATTGCACAGCTTGCTATTTCTGAGAGCTGCATTGTCTTGACCCAGGGTTATGTCACTACTGTCCCCAGCCCCTGTCACCTGGTGGTAGAGAGCATCCCAGGGAAATGGCTCCAGCCCTTCTCTCCCTTTTGCTGCYAAGGTGTATTCCAAGTGCCTCAGTTTTCCCAGCTGTGACTCAGACCCTGGTATTGCAGGGGAGCAAGAGGTTTATAAAATGCCTTTGAGAGACACCCASAGGCAGTTCTGATGTTTTGGCAGGCACAATCCCTATGCAGATTCCAATCCCTGGGATTATTTGGCAAGGATCAATTCCTGAGGACACAGAGGGGAAAAAAAAAAAAAAAAAAAGTGAGGAGAAGAAAATCAGGTCGAAATTATTTGACCACAAGCTGAGCTTCCTTCCCTTTGAGGTATCCAGGTTTATACCCAAACCACTGGTTCCACCAGGTCCAGTTTCTGGCTGGGTCTCCCTCAGCTCCCACCTCTTTAGCAGAAATATTCCCTTCCTCTGGCAAGGGAAACTGAGAATTCACACTTTCATATTAGTGCGTGTTTGCTGTATTTCTCCTTAAATCCTTCAACTCCAGCAGCTCAGACGGGGTTTAAAACCAGCTGCCTTTCAAGAGTTAATAAAAGGGAGGAGTGAGCAAGATCTTATAAAGAATTAAAGCCAGGCGGAAGAGCCTATGGGAAAGAGCCTGTTACGAGCCCCGGGGCTGCGGGTCACCAGTGCCGAGGACTCGCTGCCAGGGTTTATTAAGTCCTTGTTTAAGCGGAGAGAGTGAAAACCTCCTGAGGAGCTGCCGGCGGGGCGGGCGGGGACACTCCTGACTCCGGAKTGACGAGGCAGCAGTTTCCTCCGGCCGCCCCGCTCGCCATGTGTGTCATTCACCCAGCCCCATGAATCATCTCTTCGGCCGCTAAAAACCTCCAGCTACCCCAGAGCCGCTGCCCATCACTCGTGGCGGGGCTGGTCCAAGCAGCATCCCCAGCCCGGGGCTTAGGGAAGATGGAACAACTCTSTGTGACACTCGGGATCCTCCTGCTCTGTGCTACCGGCAGCTGGGGTAGGTTTACWCTCTCGCTTCTGTCACTTTTTAAAGCCATTTAGTGAAATTGTTGCCTATTATTTCTACAAATCCCAGGACTTTCTGCATTCCCAAAGTCTATAATTTCATGGAAAAAATCACTCGGAGGGGGAGCTGGCAGTCTGAGCTGCAGCGCATTCCCACATATATCCAGCACTCAGGCTACTTGGGCTTCGGCTGGGTCGGGGCCAGGAGGTTCTCAAGGATGTTATAGGGTCAGGACATACTTTGGTGGGTCGTTCTTTCTGGGCGTGGTGAGTTTAAATCCTCTGCCTACTCTGTGTTTGGCTCTGGGTGTTGGTTTGTAATGGAAGGACCAGGGTGTGACTTCAGCTCTGTCCTTTATAAACAGAAAATTCACTGGGAGAGCTCACAGGGCAGGTAATCCCTCCCTGTGTCTGTACATTTGGCGGGGGGGCACTTGAGGGGGCCATTTATGTCAGCATTGCTGTCCTGTGTTATTTTTTTCTCATGTTATTTTGATGTTTTTCATTGGAAATTTGATTTCTGGCGTCTGATGATCTGGGGGCAAACGCAGTTTGTATTTTTAAAATGTTTTCCAATTTCAGAAGTAGAGAAAAGCCCGGAAAAGTGTTATTTCCTCCCCAGGTGTGTTCCTAGGGCTCAAAGGAAATCTTGAAACTGCAAAATGGTGATTTATAAATTGGTCGCATTGTTTTCAAGGCCATACTCAAGTGTTTGGGGCAACATTGTTCTGTCTAAAGAATTTCAGACTTCAGTGAATTCCCAGGAACAGCCTGAGGCTCTGATCTGCTGCCGGATGGAGCTGTCATCAGTATAGGACATGGGATAACCCCTGCAAGAGTTTGAGTTCATAGAGCTGCAGTTTGGGTCTGTGCAGGTGATAWCTCTGGTGCCTATGCTCAGTTTGGGGCATCTCATTCCCAAAAAGATGCTGGCAGGAAGGGAGAGGTTTGAGAACAGGAACACCCCCAGAATGGTAGGGTGGGGATCAGCCAAACAAAGCCCAGATCCTTATCACTGAGTCAAGCAGAAAGGCTRGAGAGGATGTGGTTTGTACCTTTATCAAGTTTCCTCAAAGGTCTTTATCAGGTTTTCTCTGTGCTCATTCCTGCTCAAATTGGCAGAGGGGGGAAATAAATGTATGGTTGCTCCTGCACCACACAGAGATTACTCCATGTGCAGACTGGGACTGAGTAATTTTCTCCAGTCAGGACAGGATGATGCTGAGCCATAGATGTCTGGGG